TTTTTTTTTTTTTTTTGAATGCAGATTTTAAAACTGTACCATACTCTCTTAAGTCTTCCTATAACTGCTGCTAACTGGTCACTGACTCTCATGGAAAGCTGGAATACACTCACGTATTTACTGCCCAGTAACTTGAGATTTATCTGTTTAGAAAAGCTATCTGTACTCCCCGCTTGAAGGCAGCCTCTTCTGGAAGAYAAAATAATACACTTTTTCTAGTAAAAATCCTTTTTTAGAAAAGATAAGCTGATTTTTAAAAATAGAAAAATTCTAAAATCTCCCTGATAAAATCACAAGCTTCTCCAAATATGTGGGTAAACTGACAAAAATCTGATCTACAGAATATAATACATCATAAACTAATTTATCAGAACCGGTCATTTTTGCTCTCACGCTGATCGTGTCAGACTTTTCTGGAAAAGAGAACAGGTCAAACACATCTGTTAATTTAACTTATAACATGTTCCTYTTTGTCACGTTACATCAGGCCAAGTGAAGATTACTTAATTTACAGCACTAATAATTTAATCAGTGTATTTTGSCCTCTGGATGAAATTTTGTCCTCATTTCCACGTATGAACTTAGGTAAACCTAGGATTTTATTAAGGGCAGAATCTGGAACAGCTAAGCATCCCTCTTTTTATTTGCATTTAGTGAGAGAAAGGCATTTCAAATCAGTACTCAAACTGATTTTTTTGAAAGAGATTTTAAAGTATTTTATAGTAAATTTTCTCATTATGCACCAAAATCAGATGCCCAACTGTGGTCACACAGTTCAAAGAGATAACATGGTTTCTGAATGCTGATTTTCAGAGCCATTGGGCATCCAGGCTGCCAAATCTTCTTCAACTGGAAACCTTCAGTTCTCTAATTACAGGTATTTGTCACTGARCTCCAGTTTCATGGAGGTATCATTTAAGTGTCATTTTACCCTGGGTTTTATAAGATAGGCAATTTGAACACTCATCTCATTCTCTATTCATGTCCTCCATTTACACAGTAGTTATGATACATCCTTCTAAATGCTGAAGATTTTTAACACCTGCAAGAATATGGTATCAGAAATGRTGCCCAACTCACCCCTTACACCTGGTTAGTAAAAGCCCTTGAGAGATACAAGCGAAACCTCTGAAGTTTCTGTATGCTCACTGGAATTACAATTTAAAGGTATYTCTCTTAAGGTAAACAAAGGAAAAACAGATTTACAAAAGAAAGTCTACCATCCACTACACTTTGAAAATACAGACTAGAGTCTGAAGAGCTCCAGAAGAGATTCACAGTGATAAAGGGACATGTATATTACGATGGCTGCACTGAACAACAAATAGCAATTCTTGGAGATTCATACTCATACATGAAAATGAGACTAATGAAAAAATGCATTAACACAGACCATTAAGAAAGTATAGTTTTCTTCATAAAAACGTACCACAGGAAAAAGACTTCAGGCAGTGTCATACAGTGGACTAATTAGAAAAAGAAAGTAGGCCATCCTACAGAAATCACGCTGTTTAATCAGGCCATGAGAGCAACACAAAGGAGCAGAGAAATACTGCAAATTGTTGAGTCAGATCTCTTAATTTGAGTAAGAAGGCACACTGATCGAAGGAGAATTAGATTCTATCACAATATGATACTGCTGTTGTCCATAAGAAGGAAGTGGGACATTCATACATACTCTATCACTTCAGTGATGACATCTTAATACTTTTATACAATTTTAAGATGATCCGATTTTTTCAGCGTATGAAAAAATATCTCATAACTAAAGTGAAGGAAAAAAAATACTCTTCCCTTTTGCTTTGTGGGACTGGAACACCCAAAAAAGGTTGGGAAACAGAGAGGAGTAACTCAAATGTTTTGATATACCAACAAAATCTAGGCAGATAGGGTATGGCCCATTCAATGCCAGAATAAAGCTGTGCAGATGGCTGCATAGCTCCATGATAGGCTGGAKCCATCCCAGAGCTAGAGGAACACAGGCCTAAGGCTGCTGGAATGAGCCATCACGACTTGAAAACAAAAACTGGTCTGAATTAAAGTTGTGAACATATTTCAAACAGAGAGACAAAAAGATTCAAAAGCTTTTCGTGGGTGTTAATGAGAAACATAAATAGTTTAGCAGTGAGGTGGAAGAACCATCAAAGAGGAGTTTTAGAGCTTTTACATCCACAAAATGTCTTGAAAGTGAAAACTTGAAAAATCAGAACCACTTTACAAGTAAGGTATCTTCCATGAGAGATGAAAAAACAAGTCACAGAAAGCTGATCACAATTTCACATCATTTCAGAGTGCTCGGAGAGCCCAAGACGGACAGGAAGCCCTCAGTTCACATGTTCGTTTGGTTTGTAACCTGGGAGCCCTTTTAGCTGATGAGAACACAGGCAAGACTCTCAGTGAGTCAGACAGGGCGAAACTGCCCCRTCTTCTGAAGATGTAGGGATGTTCTCAGACATCATCTGCCAACCAGTTATCCGAGTAATGAGAGCAAAAGTTTGGACATGCCACCTACTAAGCACAGGATACACCTAACAGAGAAACAGAGTGTGTTCGTATCTCTTTCTCATAAAGACATATCCTTGCACTTGTTTATGAAGGATGAACACAGATAAACAGATAACTTCAGTAAGTTTAAATGTCTATTTTGGTTATGTAGGACTGTATTTAAAAACTATCRAAACTAATTTTGCTGTACAGGATTTTCAATACATTTTATTTTGACTTGTAGAATCAAAATGCTTGATAACTTCTGTGTTGACTCTCTGGCTACAAAAGAATAATGCAAAGCAGAAAAAGACAGAACCAGACACTGCTGACTTGGCTTTGAGTGAGCCACGTCTGACTGAGACCTCTTTTAATCTATACAAGCCTAGTCTCCAAGTTAATGAGAGATCAGACGGGGGTCGATTAGATCACTAAGACAAAACGTACATCATTCATTTTAAGATTACMCCTCTCTGTAAATTCAGCTTTGAGCTCAGTACCATGTATTATAAAAGAGTACCTAATATTACTGTACTTTACATTGATATATATAAACATTATAATAGATTTACATCCTAAAACGTATGTTTATTGTCTGCAGTGAAAATCCATGGAACAAATTTTTCATTCAGCCTCCTACCACCAACCTAATTAAATTCAGTCATGCTTTGTTCTCTTAAAACAGAGGTTGGCATGCATTATGAATCAACTTTCACTGTGAAGGATGTCCCTTATTTTACATTCAAGTGAACTAACATTCCCCTTAGGACCTACTATTACAGCCAAACTTAACACACTAAAAGAGAGGCTAGATCATGGAAGTGAGGCTTGGTTTAATCTTTATAAAGAAAAAAACACAAATTCAATATTTTTTTTTTTATGTGTACCACAATATAAAAAATGTTCACAAAAACAAAAAGTCTCATTATACCACATATTTCAGTCTTATATTCACCTTCGTAAGACTACAGTTGTTGTCTTAGTCCCCTAAAGTGGGATGTATGTTATGCTCTTAGCTTTTTGCATAGCTCCTTTTTATCCTTTTTTTTTCTTTTTAATTGTTCATTTATGCTCTTCTCTCTTTTCTACACTTGAGCTCTAGTTAAAAATACAAGACTGATGTTGGGGTTCTGTCAGACCATTACACTGAGAAAAATAGTTAATATTACATCAAAGATACACATCTCAAAAAAAAAAACAGAATAAAAATATTCTGGTAGTTGCTGAGTTAAGAATCCAAATATAAACAAAATGGAAGATGTATTTACTGCAAAGCAGCTGAAAAAAAAATCTCATTTCTAACAGCCGTGTTTTTAAGGAGATGGACAGCATTCAACTAATGTGATGAGATTTCTTTCCTTTATAGAAGGAGTATAAATCTAAAGGATTTCAGAGTTCCTGGACTTCATTAAGAAAATTAATACTCAAGAACATTGAATACAATCCTGATTGCTCAGGGACATGTGTTTTAACCCATTATCATGCCCTTTCAAGAGTGAAATAAACATGCGTGAAGCCGTGAAGAACATTAAAATACCTTTTTTTTTCCCAAATGATTTTTGTAAATGAGTGTAAAAAGACCAATATAAAACACTGCTGGTGAGGTGAGTAACTCATGCAAGATTAATAAGCAACTGGAAAAGTCTACAAGAAAGCAAAGGAATCTAAAAATTAGATTGTATAACAATAATAAACAATAATAAAATAAATAATAATAAAAGATTAGATCTCCTTCCTCTGTAAACTGTATATCGAACATGGGGTACTGGTGTGCTTTGGCTGATTAGTTCATGCCCACCATTCTTACTTAATKTATTCTTTGAAATAACAACAGAAGCAGAATGTACACACCAATATAAATCCTATCCCTTAGTCGATGGAGCAAGGTTTATTACTTGAATCTTTGTTCTATCCTCTGCAAAGAGCCTACGACTTGTTTTCCTTCCCACTGTCAGCTATGAACAGTAAGAACCTTGCAGCCACTCAAAACAYCCAACCCTATTTTTACCACTCAGCTGCAAAACACTACCTGTGCAAATAGCTACATAAGAACATTTATATATTATATTAATAAGAACATTTCTCTGTAGTCAATTGCATTCCACTTTAACACAGAGTGGTTTGACCAACGCACCATGCAGAATATCAATTTGACTGTATTTTTTGAGGATTAACCTCTTGATTCCTGTAGTATTTCATGCTCCACTACACCTAGTTGTGTATAGTGCTGGTAGACACATCTGGAAAATATCCAGGACTGAACAACCCAGTTRGCTTTGAAAATGTCTCAAGAGAACCAGTAACTTAAAGCTTTGCTCTTTAGCATGGTGCATTATTCATTCTATCAATATACTTTACTGGCCTACCAATTTGAATCACCAAATAGTTAAGTGAAAACATACAAGCTCCCGATGACATTCTCTAAAAACTCTGTTTTAATCAATTATTTATAATATTTTAAATTTAAAATCAATTTTAGAGAACTTTTACACTGTTTGAGACTGATGCGTGCTTACCTCATTGTCGGACTCCACAAGCACTTGGTCATACTCGCTAAGGGCTACTAGGAACATGATAGATGTGACATTTTCAAAGCAATGTATCCATTTTCTTCTTTCTGATCGTTGGCCTCCTACATCAACCATTCTGAAAGATTGACAACATCTGCATCAGCTCTGTAAACAGCTTAAAAGATAAACATCCACATCCACATTTCAAACATCAAATTCAGGAATTTAGATGAAAACGAACTGGTATACTTTCTTTAATATTTTTTCCATTTGTATTTAAGAAAAATCACCATATTTACTTCTGAGTCAGTGTTTTTTTCAGTATGAAATTACTCGCTGAATTTAAATTATTACAGATTCCAAAGCCATCAATATTTCTTAAGCATGGTTCTGGAATTTTGCAAAGTTCTGCCCTGTATAGTCAGCACAAAAATGTGTGCACAGAATCAAGCTGGTGGCCTCCCTTTCTCCCGGGAAACTCATCAAAGTTGTCAACATGCCAAGGCTTTCCAATTTTTAAGAGTATACTTAGAATACAATATGCATTTATTAAAGTTGTTAATAGTCAAAACAAAAAAAATTTGCTGGCTGCATGCACTCCCRATTCATTATGCATTTCAGTGTAACTGGACACTCAAGTGTCTAAATTGCAGCTGTAATTGCATAGTTATTTTTTAAACAACTGTATTTGCACTTACAATGAGCTGCGGGGAAAAGTATTTGTAGGAGTGATATTAAGCCTGCAAAATGTAATTTCTTTCTAAATAACAAGCACATTAGTTGTCCCTTTGTACTTTGTAATTTACATGAATTAAGAAGGCACATGATTGTATTATCGAATTATTATTGGATTTAACAAACATTTCATATAATTTCAGCTTATTTACCACCTATGGTATATATTCAGAAAAAGGCAAGTTCACGCAYCTCTTGACATTTTTAAAATCGGTTGCTAATCACATATGGACACTGCCACAAAAACAGTACGACCAAGCTCAAAATTTAAAAATACGTAATAAATTTTATACATAATGTACATACAGTATAAATAATGTAAAAAGAAAGAAAGTAAACGTGCTGCATAAACGTTTTCTACCTGAAAATGACACTTTGTAAGTCGAATGGATATTCAATGATCCCTGTTGTGGGGACTCGAACTCTGAGCACATCCTGCTGAGTTGGCAGGTAGGCCGGATCTGCGATGCGGTCCAAGTCGTTAAGATAGCTGTAGACAGGGAGAAACAACAGGAATGCAAGACAGTGACAACATAATCCCACTGAGGAAAAGAGCAGGGAGGAGCTGGGAAAGGAAATGGGGTGTGGGATAGGAAGAGGGCAGCAGAAAAAAAAAACATTGTTGGCATAAAAGAGGGGCGGAAGTATAGAGGTGTGCTCTTTCTTCCTTCCTGTATTTTTTCCTAGCTTGAAATAAATGCATGATTACTTTTGTTTCCCATTCAGATTCACTCGGCTTTCACAAAGATTTAGATTTTGCAGCTATTCAGTTCTGGACTATTTGAAGACAAATGAGCAAAATGTTTAGCAAACAACATGTCATGTTTTATCTGAAACTATGTTGTATTTCTTGATACTCACTTTGCAGCATCTGCACAGATACATGGATAGATAAACAAGAATCCCCCAAATGAAATAAATAACTGTAATAAATTAGCTTTAGAAATTAGCAGAAATTATTATTAGTTAGGAAATGAGAAAAGGAAAAATAGCATTCTTTGGAGTTTAAAAGAAAAAAAAAAGCACACACAGACAACCCTCTTCTCTGTTACTGACAAACGGAACAGCTCTCTACATCTTGTTATGAGAATCAGCCTTATGACCGTCTGTTTGGATACCTGGCACCTGGAATTCCTGCACTTGGATTAAAACAGGTTAACATGCCTGTAGCACATGCCAAACAGCCCAGACGGCTTCCAAATAACCTGAAACCACAATAAAACTGCTTGTTAGGGCTTCACAGCTAGAACACACCAGATTCTCCTGCAATTCCTTAACGGTGTTTATCAACCAGAAAGCAGCAGTGTACAGAAGGTTTTAATGATTTTTTTTTTTTTTTTATAAAAAGAGAGGCAAAATAGCAAAGTTTGATAGCCTCTTTGGATCTGGGGGTTGCAATTACATGAATTTAGGGCAGCAGACATCTTCGGGTCTCCTCTGGGCACGCTGTCTGCGAGGAAGACTGCTGCAGAAAATGGAGTTTTTGTGCACTCGGCCACCTCCAACACAACATTAACTCCTTGGTAGTCAGCTGCTGACAAGACACAATAAACCAGGGCTGTCCGGATCCATTCCAGTGAAGGCAGCAATGGACTCCTTGTGATTCCTCAAATTGCTACATATTTGAAATTCTGAAAATGTTCTTTGCCCCATGGTTATTATTCAAGGTGCTCTTTCCAAAAAATCCACACAAGGATTAATTAGACTACTTCTAGATMCTCTGAATGATTTGTTATGAAATACAGAGAGTAACTAATTGTGAACAATGACAGAAACAAAGTACTTTCAGTTCTACTTTACAGCAAAAATACAGAAGAATTAATTTGTTACATCTGTGAGGGAGCAAAAAAATATTATCAGATTTTCCTCAGTATGATTTATTCATAAAAGATTAAGCCAATAGTAGATGTTGAATGTGAGAAAACTACACATATTTAGAAAGATGGTTTAACCATATATCTGAGGCATATTATCATATTCAGGAGTTACTATGCAGAAAATATTTTTTCAGAGTACTGACTAGTTTCTGTCAACAGGAAAAAAAGATCTTGAGAATGATAGGATTTCATCTGCCCTCAGATTTTGTAATCAGTAATGGTTTTGGTTTAGAAAAAGAATCAAAAAGATGCAACAGAGGGCTCTGTGTCATTAAATACAACAGTGGTTCTCAGGAGAAGAGAAATGCATAAAGAAAATAAATTCATAGGGGGGTCATCTGTACAAGCACCTTGCTGCAGCTTTAGCTGCAGTCTTCCATGGGGAAGCCTGGTTATTTCACCTGTAGGACACGAGCAGATTTTCCAAAATCTCACTGATTTTGGAAAAAGAGTCCTTTAAAAGGTCATTGCTCAGCAGTCAAGTCTCACTGGTGTTACTGCTTGAACAACAGATGGAAACTTTCCMGTTCTAGCACAAATCACCGATGCTGTTATGATCAAGCTTTGATTCATCCTTCAGAAATAAATACCTTTTCCTCATTCTCATCCAGAGAGATCTGCTCTTACACATGTAGTGACCARGTACCCTCTTACCCCAAGAGCCCCCAGAGCCCGTAACAGAGACCTTGCACACCTTTACAGAGCCCTGTTTCCTTCCCTAAACATTTTCACTTAACCAATAGAAGGATGCAGAGCTTTCCAAGARGTCTCCTGTATTACACATCCAAAAACAGAATCAAAGAAGGAGTGTCAAAACCATTAAAAGTAATACTCATAGCACTGCTTTAAAGAAGTTTTTGTATTACTGACAAGTCATAAGCATTATCTATAATTTTTATAAGAGAAATCTATAATCCAACAAAATCCAACAAAAGCAATGCAGAATATATCACCTTCAAATTATTCTTTTATTTAGGATTATTAAGATATTCTTTGTTTTAGGATTATGTCATTTTTCTCTGTCACTTTCTCTCTAATTTAACACTTGATAAGATATATACATATCACTGTATTCATTTTTAAATGAAAAATGGCTACTTAGGTTTCACTTGCATAACCTTGCTTTTATTTCTCTTTCCATCTCTTGAATGTAGGGCAAATATTCAATTAATTTGTTTTAAAATTAAGAAGAGCTTTTTCCTCTGTAAGTTCTACTTTGTTTTTACATTCTTTTTGCATTCCTGTAGAAAAACAGGAGCAGTCTTGCTTCTTCTTTGTACACCCTTGCTCTGTAGCAAAGAAATTTATTTTATGAAGACATTTGTTTTACTTTCATTGCAAAGCCATGTTTTCTGATCAATTACTTTCGGGTTTCGATGAATATCAGCCAAACACTCTGTAACCACATAATTTCACCTTCCTCTATCAACTAAACTACTTAAATCATCTATTAAACAGGCTTCTGATATTGTGCTGAAAGCTTTGTCTGCAGCAGCAATACAAAGTTCCTTTCAAGACACTTTCCAAATCACTAGCAAACGCCTTATTTTGATGAGCAACACCGTAGCCGCGGCTTCTCGCCCCAATGGGACTAGCTCAGCTGAGCTTAACACGAAAGAACAAACCAGGGAAATCGCACAGGGCTACTTCAAAAGAAATGCATAGGCCCGAGTAAATTTATAGCGCTGCCCAAGTTCAGAGAGCTGATTATGGCCGCAATGGGCTTTGTGAAAATGGACACGGGCAGTTTTCCGTTGAGGTTTCCACGGCAACCGGCCCAAGCCGCATTGCCAGGGCAAGGGGACCGCCTGGCGAAGGGGCAGGAGCCCCTTGCGACGCGACGTGAGGCGACACGACGTGACGTGAGGCGACACGACGTGACGTGAGGCGACACGGCACGAGGCGACACGACACGAGGCGACATGAGGCGCCGCCGGCGCTGCGGGCAGCCTGCAGGGCCGCGCGCGGCAGGAGCGGGGCAGCTCTCGCAGCGCACGGCCTCTCACAGCTCCTGTGAGACCATTTCCTGCAGAAATGGTTTTCTGCATTTCGAAACATGCAGAAGGAAAGAACGGCACAACAGCGGCAGACTAGTGGGCTCTGTGTTTTCCCASGTGTCTGTCTCGTCTAGCAGCCACGCAAAGAAGTGACAACACTCCCAACCCTAACGAACAACCAGAATGAGCTTAGCTAGTAACCCTTGTCTTGAAGTCAAATATAACCTCTTTCTCCATCATCTTGCAACTCAAGGAACTCATCCAGCCTAAATGCATTTTCCCAGAGTTATGCTGCCTAATGAATATGCAACATCAGAACTTGAGTTCGCTTTGAATTACATCTTTTTTTAATAACTTCAAAATGAACAACCAAGCATTTCTAATGGATACCACCCTCTCCAATCATGAACTACTCTTACCKAACAGCTTTGAGATCACATCTTTGTTGTGAGCAATCAGATGATATCATAGAACTTTCTTTGGTATAATTCCATCAGAATTTTCCTAACTGAAACTTAGAATATAGCTTATAAACTAAGTTAGCCTTAACTTAGTGTATAGCCTAATTTGATTATCGACACTAACAAAGGGTTGATCTAAGATTACCAAAACTGATTTGTTACAACACGGCCAGCAAACCTAGAGACTTAATTTCTTAAGATATACGACGAGCATGGTGCTACAGGGAAAGAGCGACAAAACTCCAAGAAACTATGAAGTTTGTTGCTTAGCAAGAGGTTCGTACAGGTTATTTCTATTCMAAATTAGCTATGAGAGGCACAGTCTATTGGCATGGATTCATAGACAAGGGGTTTCAGTGTGCCCAGCCCCATGTGATTGCAGACAGAGCACGGCAGACCTTTGCCATCTGTGATGGTAACAGTAAACATTTACTATTTCCCATCCTAAAGCTCTTTGRCTTAATTGCAAACATCTCTTTCCTTCAAGAGTGACAATAGTTCACAGGCGTGATCTTCTAGAGATGATCGCTCAAATATGCAGWGTGACAGCCTAAATGAAAATAAAACTCTTAATCAAATGACCTATGGCTGGGGCTCCTTAAGCAAACTATTTCATTAAATATGCTATATTTATGTCCTCGCCGCTCTGGCTGTTCTGGAGTTGAGTGCTGCCATCCTAACCTGATTCTTGTTTTAGTTTTTTTATTTTTATTCCTTTTGCAAAAATTTGCAATGGCTGATAAGAGTACCCTAAAAAAGCCCTAAATTTAGCCATGTGCTAGAAAATAATAAGCTTGGGAAGGAAAAAGTTTTTAATGCATTTTTGAAGGTACATAAAACTTTGTCATCTCTTCATAAGCAAAATGTTAGAGCAGTTTTAGCAGGATTTTCCCACCTCACTGAGATGCCACAAAAACTGAGACAAGTTCCTCTTTGGTAACATGCAACGCAGTAAATGGAATCAAGTTTCAGTTTACTAGCAAAGCCATGAACAAAGCTAAAAGTACTGGTTGCATTTTCAGCACATATGCTTATTTCTGAGCCTCTTTCGCACTGGCAAAAATTTGAAGCTCAATTACCCATTCCCAGGGTTATCTAATCGTAGTCTACAGCAAGTGCAGTGAATCTAAGATGTTTGCAGTGAGGTTGGAGGTT